CAAAAACTCTATCAGGCTTTGATAGTAGAAGTGGAGCCCATGAGGCTGATGCTCTTTCCACTACCATCTTCCACAACGAAGCCCTTTTCCGTGCAGCAAAAAACCCGTAAATGGAGCTTCGTGGATTCAGCATTTTTTCTTTTCACCATCAATCATGGATTTATTCCTTGTCCCACTTATCAGGCCTCTGCTCTGCTTACTCATCTTAAAATGGCACAGAGAGACCCATTCTTCTGCGGCTCCAAGAACACTTTTAAGATAATCATTAGGCTTCCCGTGTACCCAAGAGATGATTTATTAGTCATATCCTTGTCTTTAAAAATAAAGAAGGTAAGATGTTGAAGCCTACCAGTTCCCCACACCCTTTACCCAGCGAGGAGACTGGGCAGTAGTAGCTTCTGGAAATCATAATTGATTTCCAATGCTAACTTATCCACAGCCTCAAACTCTGGGAACAGGTTGGCAGGATCCATTTGAGGGTGGGAAGAGGGGAGGAGAGGGAAAGTGAGGGGCAGTCGGACCTGTATATAGATCGTGTCACTAAGAGATGACAAATCAATGGATTCTAATTGGAAACAGCAGAAAAACACCTTACCAGCACTTTGAAATAACAATTCCTCCAAAGTATAAGGAGGCCAAGTGTTTCTAATTTCTCCTTTGGAATGTGAGTGAGAGAGAGTAATACAAGTGTGATACAGTTTGGGGGAAAAAAAGCCATTCTGAGATTGACATAATGACTTCTCAGGAATTTTACTTAAGCTGAGATTTGAATTCTAATAGCTTGTCCCCTAATCGATTTTAACACTAGATATTCCCCTTTCACAATCAAGATGAAACTGAAACTGCTGGTGGTGCCAGTGTGGCCTGTTGGTCTTCATCCACCCTGCTCTCCGGCCCCCGACTCTGGTTACCAACATGCCAAGAGTATGACCCTTTTAAAATCAACCTGCTCGCACCGAGCCGTCCTTACTTCAGAGCAAAACAAAAAGCCACTCACAGCCTTAAGAGCAAGAACAGGTGTGCAGATTCATACCTGCTTACCAGGAAGCAAACCAGCTGGGAATCTCCCTGGACCCACCAGTTGACATACAGTGACCTTCATTTCATTCCACTGGCCTGGGGTGGGGTGGGGGAAGGGCTGCAGCGGATGTTAAGTAGAGACTTTTCCATTACACCACTGGGCAAGCAGCAAGGCAAGCAGGGTCAAATCACGGACAGGGCCTGGTGACTGTGAGTGTGTGAGAGTGTGTGTGTGTGTGCGCGTGCCTGCACTATACACACGCCTGCTCGGCCCTCTCCAGCACAGCTCATGGCTGCGTCTCTCCGCAGCTCCAACTGCACGGACAGAGAGGCAGGGATGCTGCTGACCAGCCCTGCGGGCCTTTCCTAAGAGGTTTTCCTCTGGGAAAAAGCTTGACAAGGGCTAACCCAACAAGTGTGGGTTAAAGGGAGAGACTGCAGAACAAATACAATCTCATTTAAATTCACTTAAAATTGTTTTTAAATGTGTTTCCTAATCCAACATTTCCCAAAACCCTTTTCATGGCAAGCTAAGGTTTTACTGGCTCCATGAAAACGTAAGTGTGCAGAGCATCCCTGCCGTATCATCCAAACTCACAGCCTGGAAACTCAGCACCCAAAAAGAAGAAACTGCTGCTTCTAGTAGAAAGGTAGGGCTATAAAAACAGAGGCCGCTGTCAATAGCTACCCTTTATTTAAAATATCCCACCTCATTTAATCCTCATGGGGTATTATTCCCATTTTATAGATGGGAAAACTAAGGCTTAGTGAGGCTAAGTAGTGTTGGAGTGGTAGAAATTGTATCCAACTCCAAAGTCCCTGCTTTTCCTTCTCAGGTCAACTTGATCGTGAATCTATCTGTAATAGCTTAGGGTCTCAGGGGCTACTTTGATATCTAGATTAGGCAACATAAAACTGCCAATAATCAGTCATTTTTGATCTATGCAAATAGAAATTTAGTATATCTCAATTCGGTATCTCAGCTGAGGCTCTAACTTTGTGCTTTCCAGGTGAGGTAGGCAGGTCTGCTCCAATACCCCACAGCAACAAGACTTTGTAGCGAATATCACAGGCACTAATGGCCACCATTGCTCAGGGCCAAGAAACTGTACATGTTACCCGTTTTTTCTTAAATGTCACTTTTATTTTATAGTTTAGTCCTTTCTTTGAGATTTTTCACATTTGGCCTATCCGCTTATTGAATGTTAGAGACAGACAGACTCGAATGCACTGCACAACTGCCCCTGCTTCATAGGCCCCGTTCACACGTTATCTAGAGACCTAATTACAGGGTATTCTGGTGTGTAAAGGGCAGTCGAAACCCACTCAGCCGAATTCAGCTGATAATAGCATTAATCAGTCCTTATATCTTTAAATGATATCCAATCTCTGACATCCACTAGGTGCATCTGACTTAAATAGACAATTTTCCTTCTTTAACTGTCATGAAAGTGGAGGCTTGAAGATATTAATTTGAAGCCAAAGAATCGTCAGGATATCCTCACAGGCATTTGTTAAGTCTGCATACTCAAGGAGTCCGCATATTTAAGGAGTTATTTCCGAAACGAATTACGATTTCTTAAGGCCATGAGGAGGGTCCAGTTAGGGTCCCTCAGAGGACACAAGGGTGGGCCGTTGGGGGAAGGCCGAGGGCTGCCCTTCCTGGCAGCCAGCCCCCTGCCAGCTCTCTGCCCTCCCTGATCAAAGGTTACCATCACTGTCAGACGAATGCCATATAAAGGCACAGAAAAACCCCACAGGGTAAGAAGTAGGGAGAGGGGCTTGGCCTAAACTCTGGGGCCAAGGTGACAGGGCAAGACAAGGGAAAGAAGAGACAGCAATCGGCAAGACCAAGAACCCAGGGGACAGAACAGGGAAGATGGAGGACCAAGGACTTTTCCGTGACTCAGACCCAAGGACAAGAATGCATATTTCCAAGATGAGCCACCGGCATTTCTTTGGGGAAGTGAGGGTTTGTCAGGTCTGTCCAGCTGCTGTGAGCACACTAAATATAGGTACTAAGAACATGTCTTTTGGGAAGGGGCTGGAAGGAGTCGCAGGCAGGCAGGGTGACAGGGTGTTGGAAGGGACCAAGTACCTCAGCCAGCTCTTTGATTTTACAGGCAAGGTCATTTCCAAGTCCTTACTTACAAAGTCAGGCACTTCGGCTGTTTCTTTTCAAAAGTGAAATTCCCCTTTCTGCAAAGAGCCTGAAGGAAATTCTTAATTTCATTAAAGGCTGACTCCCCAAAGTTTATATGGTCAGGGACCATTTTTTAAAATCTAGGAAATTAAAGAAAATGCTTGACTTTGTGTTCATCTTTGGCTTCGAATAGAAGAATTTAAAACAGCTTCACGATTGAAGAATAACTTTTAAATGGCAAAACAAAGAATAAAACCAACCAAACAAAAAAGAATCTACACAAATTTAAATGAGTACTGCTAATGCTGCCATAAAAATTCTACCGGAGAGGACATGAAAAGACACGCCACGCTTTCCTGTCACGGGAGCCGACGAAAAACATGTTTACTTAAGATTCTAAGCGTCTCTGCGCACGTCAGAATTCTTCCTTCAACCTTCCGACAGACCCACCTCTTTCGGGAAATAGTTGACAGAACCTGTGGCTTATTAAGCAGGTTTAAGCCATTTTATACACTTACACGTTTTCGTTTTCCACTTCCCAAATCCCCTGGATCTAAATTTATCTGGAAATATTTGGGGTCTTTCTTACGGTGGAGAACTGTTTGACTTAGGGCGATACGACAGTGCTTGCCGGTTTCTAAGATCTTCTTCTGTGAGTCCTTCCCACACCCAAGGAGGTGGGCATGACAAGTCTGTGACAGGCAGCGGCACTTGATCTATGCTGCTCAGGGCCATGCAGACGGCCTCAAGATTGTCACCTAAATACAGCTGTTACTAAACCGTTGCCTAGGGAAAGGAGAGAAGGGACAAGTCATTGCCACCCTCTAGCAGCAGCCTCAAGGTCATTTATGACGTGAGAACCCGGAAGTTATGCAACACTTCCTCTCTCTCCAGGTCCTCCGGACAACGATTTTTAGAAGAGCCAGACAGTAAATTCACGTCTGCGTTGTGCCCCTGCCTCCTGCCGCTGGCGTCGGGTGTGACGGCGGCGGGCCTTCCACGGTGTTTCGTGACTGGCGTGGACAGGCCCGGCTGCACACTGACAGCACCCGACTCACGGCAGAGCGCTCGGGTGGCATTTGCATCTCTCTGCGATAAGCAATCAGATTCACCCACGGGTTTAGAGCTCAAGGAAATCGTTAGTTACCCTGCAAAGCAGGTCCAGAAAGCCAGTAAACAGCACTCCCACTAAACAAACAGGTGTAAAGCCAGTACGTAAGACTCCTAGTAAACAAAGGTATAAATACTGAGAAGTGAACAGAGACAGTGACCTTGTTCAAGGTCAAACTGCAAATCGACAACAGTGGCAGAAGGGACCCCTGAAGCCACGGCTCCCCTCCCTGTGAGTAGGTGCCAATTCAGAGCTTCTCGTCAGCCCTAAAAATAAGTTAACCTTTAAAACAGGAACCGAAGTGATTTTTTGAAAGGATTTCTCTGCGTCCTGGACCCCCAAAGAAGTGAAGTGTGTGTTAGAGTGGAAAGGCCCTAAAAGGACCCCATAAGCAGCCCCCCTTGAGCACCAGGGCTACGGAGACGAGGGCCGCCATCAGAGAACTCTGCCCGCAGGCACGAAGCTGGCAAGTGGCGGGCTGGGCCACCGACCAGGGCCCTTCCCCGTCTCTTCAGACCTGTGCAAGCAAGATGTCCGCAAGCCCCGGGAGCTCCGCCTGCAATGCGGGTAGGAGATCTGGCTGCAGCAGAGAAGTTCCTCTTTTTCCTCTTTGTGCCTGGTTTAAAACTACCTCACAGAGCAATTTTCAAAAGAACTCATTCTCAACTGAGAAAGTGACACCCATTTTACCTCTGGAGGAACTGAATCTATTCGTGTTGATTTTACCTGGCGGGGCCACTCGGTCCTGATATGTGGGCTTAAATTCACTGATGGTGAGCAGCATCACTTGGATGGTTCCGATGAAGATGCCAGCCAGGCAGCCATAAAATATCACGTAGAACAGAAGGATCTTAACTGCAAGGAGAACAGACAGAAACAAAAGGCCGTGATACAGTCATATGCTCAGGATGAAAGTCTAATCTTTCCAGAGATGAACCGACTTCCTTCCCGGCTTCCCCTGCACCCTGTTTCTCCAGAGCTTCCTTTTCCAACAACTGACTGAGAAAGAGACAGAGTGAACCTCACCCCCCACTGACATGGGGTAAAAATGTGAGGCTGGGCAGCCCTCCATTACAGTGTGTGTGGGAGGTCATTAAGGCCATGATCCTTACAGGAGATAATTTTATTCCCCAAATAAAAAAAGTCGTGAGGCTCACCAATAAAATCTAGAGTTATGTTTATGTGCTTATGCAATGCATTTAAAATATGATGATATACTCCCTTAGAGACATGCGTCTTCTTTGCTTGCACATCCCTTGACATTTAAATCCTACAATCCAGGCCTGAGGGTTTTTATGCTGTGACAGAGCAATGAATGCTGAGAATCCCAGTGCAGCTCTCCTGCTCCTTACTATCGCCCAGCCTCTGGTTTGCATTATCGACTCAGCACACTGTCTTCTTCTTAGAGGACAAGACAAGGGAAAAGAAAATCCTATAGTAAAAACAACCAGTATATTTGAATTTCATCTTCTGACTGGAACCAGAGCAATGACTGACTTGATGAGCTGCATTTTCTTTTTCCCACAGTTAACAAGGTATCAGGATGGAGGCTGAAATAGCTACAAAACAAAAAACAAAAAACAAAAAAAACCACCACCCTGACACATAGACTGGAATGAGGCTATCAGTTACTGGTTTACTGGGATTATCTCCCCGATTAGCCGCATAGTAACAGGCTGTACCAGGCACTGCCTGGCAGCCCTGTGCCAGCCAAACAACTCAACGCGAATGCGAAAGTGGAAACAAGTGAACCGGAAGGCTATCGAGTCAGAAACATGACACAAAGGAGCCTTAGGCTACTTGTCAAAAGGTCCAGATCTCATGCATTAAAATGCCAGGATACTTGGGGGAAAGCTACAGAACCAAGAGTCTTACTGAAAAGAAGTGTATGTGGCGGGAGGGGCAGGGAGGGAGCGGGTACACAATTGCCCGAATAAACCACAGTGCCCTCTCCATATATTTAAAGGCCCAACTTTCTGATCAGGCACTAAATAGTTCAGAGAAATCAGGCTATAGAGCTGTTAAAACAAGCAAAACATGCATTAAACCACATCAAAATACTTAATCATAATCCCTTTTTCTCCTCTTCAAAAGAAAAGAACAAGGAAAAAGGCAAAGATACAAGCAAAGGTAAAGAAACAAGAAAAGGTTGTATCGTCTAAAACTACAGCAGCACAACTCAATCGTTCCCTCCCAGCAGGACAAGGGTTAAGTGCTGCATTCTGTATCCAAGCAGCAGTAGGCAAATGGCACGGCTGTGACGTGAAGAGATCTGGAAAATTTTTCCAGTGAATGCTCCTAAGAGGAGCAAGAGTTGGTATAACACAGTCAGCAAGAGAGTGCTGCAGCCTTGCTTCACGTTTTCTCTTTTTTCTTGCCCACTCCACCTCACCTTGGTGATCCTAGCTTAACCTTATGTGTCCCTTCTAACAACTGGAACATTTCTATACTCATTCCCTGGACTCCAGACACCTAATTCTAACAGCATAAGAAGGTATGTAAGTGAGGCTACAATTGAAAATACAGATAGAGCAATGGAAAAATAAGTCATTTCACAAGCACACCGATTAAACTCGCAAATGTACAATCTTTCCATTCTGCCCACATGATACCCTAAGAAAAGTGAGGAATTTTCCTCATTTTGCTCCAAGATGTTACTTAGCAAAACCTCCCCAGTTATTGCTGCGAGGGCACTTGGTTAGATTGGAGCGTGGGGGACTAACAGGGCCAGACATCAGCAGGGGCTGCTCCAAAAAAAAAAAGTCTGGACAAGTCACACCAGCAGCTGGGGGGAGGCACTCTGGGGGTAGTAGGTTTTAGAGACATTTTCCCCTTCCTTCAAGCATTTTGTATTTCTTTTTTTAAAACAACAATGTAATATAGAGGTTTTTCAGTTAGGAAAAAAAAAATGTACCCTTCAAAGGGTCACAAACAGATGGAAAAAATGGCATCTGGGCCCAACTGTAAATATAAAAACCTACTAGTGCTTGAATTAACTTAATAAAAAGGTGGAAAGCACAAAGTGATTTGCATGCTGTGATTTCTCCAGCAGGTGACAGGCGAGTCTCCTGCATCCATCTTGGTAAAAATCTACCTATAAGCAAAACTGAGCCAAGGGCATCCTGCCCTCTCCCAAGGGCATCCATGTTGGGCCGGGTGCTGGAAAAGGGGCATTTTCTCCATAGGAGAAAGCGATCGCTGCCACTTTCTCTGCGTCAGAGAAGCTCTGTCATTTCTTACATTGCCGGAAAGAAGCACAAAACAAAAACGCGATTTTTAGCCCAGCACCTGCACCTTGGAAAACGGAAGGGAAGAGGAGGCAGGCACAGCAGTCCTGGCGTCTACGTTCATAAATCGCCGTGCTGATACCTTGCTGATGTGATATCCACACGCAACTATTAGCACACGCGCACACACGGTCTCTCTTCCTCTCTGTCATGGACGTGCTGCCCAATAAATGTCAGCTTAAAGCATGAGTCGGTCCATACTGCCTGACCCTCTAAAGCAAATATTATTCTAAGAAGAAGAATGGAATTGGAATGAGGAAAGAGATATATTTTATGAAGGAGAAAAACACAAGAGGGCAAACTGTGCCTCGAGTCAATGCAACCCCTGCCTCTGAGACGCAGCAGGGTCAGACCACCAGGGAAGGAGGCCCCAGTGAACCTGGGGACAACGGCACCCATTCCAGTCCACAGTGCTGGTCGGGAGCTGTTCATCCTCCACACCCCACAGTCCTTCAGGTTTTCCCTTCCTCATGGAGAAAACGCAGGGAGCTACTTTAATGCCTGAGACACTATAACAATGACCTCACTGGAGAACACAGTCTCCCCAAAATAAAATAAAACATAAAAGCTAAAAGCCATTACTTTACAGAACTACGTTTTCCATGGCTCAGGGATAACTGTGCTTCCCAGCAATACCCTGGAATGAGACTTCACCTTGACTAACCTTGAAGTGTGATGCATTATTAACCCTTTAATTTTCAATCAAGAGAGGCTCCCTACATGCTGCACTGTTTTTTCTTTACAAAAAATATATATATTCCAGCTTCCTCCATTTCAAAATGTCAGCTAAGCACTATTTCCCTGACTCATTCTCCTGCGATTCTCACAGATCCTCCCTACCAGCAACACTGCATCAGCCTCTTTTCAATGCTCGCTTATTGACTGCGGTGCTGCTGGTGCTGATGATGAAGATGATATTGGAGGAGGAGGGGGCAGAGATGCGGCAGGGCAGGGGGAGTTCCCTGCCTCCCTTCCGCAGTCACGACTCAGATTCACCTACAACTCTGCCCTTCAAAATGACCTTTTTCAAAAAAAAAAAAAAAAAAGTCACCCTTCCGGAGTAGGGCAGGGGAAACAAGTAAGGTATCTAATTTTCAATGGGAAAAAAAGTCCATCCAACCAAGCAACAGGCTGCACAAAATCTTATAAGATGAGCTGCTTCTGCGTTAGTGCCATTTATTTCTTACACTAACCCTTCACTGTAATCAACCCAAGCTTCTGATCCGCATCTGTCTGTGTAGATTTTGAAAACAACCAGACTTTACCATGTTTCAGGCCAAGACTGAGAAATGGAGTCCTGACAGGGAGCTTACCGGGCCCTTTCCGGGCTGCGACGACTCTGGGGGAGGTCGCTGGGGGGAAACCCTGGCCCTCGCTATGAAATACTGCAGTGTGCATGGAGTCCTCTCCTCCCTTCCCTCTCCTCTCTCGAGGTACATATTTAGACTGGAAGAAAGATGCTGTAACACATCCTCGCCTGCATTAGATCTGATTACCTCGTGAGACTCTCTCGCAGCCCCAAATCTCATTTTTAAGGACTTGGGACGTGACTACAGGGCGAGACATAGCTAGTCACCCACAGCCCCTGCCATTCCCAGGAGGAAAGGGCTCAAGCGATACACGGTAGGACAGACTGCAAATCACCAAGACCAGATCGCTACAACATACATAACCTTCTCCTGGAGAGCTCCAGCCCCCACCCCGCGCCCCATCCTGGGGACTCCGCATTCCGCACAGGACGACAAGGCCAGGCCGGCGCGACCCGAGCGGCGCCCACCACCTGATCCCCCCTCTCCACCCTGGCCAGCGCGGTGGGTGCGGAACGGTCCGCAGAGCCTGCGCAGGGCATGCGCCGCCCGGGAGAGGCAAGGCACGGGGGGCGAGAGCTACAGACCCCGTACTTACACCAACTGCCACCGGTCCTGCCCAGAAACTCCTTCTTCTCCGAGTTCCAGATGAATTTCTTCCAACTGCCCTCCTCCTTGGCTTTTCCGCGGGCCATGGCGACGGCGGGTCAGCAGCTGCCGCTGCCGGGGACTGGGGTAGGGGGAATGCGGCGTGCGCCCTCGCCGGCTGCCGGTCTGCGTCCCCGGCCTGGCTCTCCGCAGGCTGCACGCGCCGCTGCCGCTGCGGCTCTCAGAGTGCGAGACGCGCGGTGGAGGAGCTGAGGCAGGAGCGGTAGGAGGCGGAGGCGGCCGCGGCGGCGGGGGCGGAGGAGGGAGGGAGGGACGGCGCAGGCTGGGCGGCTCCGAGCCCCGCACCTATTGGTGGGCGCGCGGCCGCTCGCGGGCTCTCTTTGGTCCGCCACGCGCTGCTCTCGCCCTTAGGGCGTGGGGGCTCCGCGAACCCGCAGCTGCCGCGCCCGCTGCCGCTGGGGACGCGTGCTGGGCCCCCGCCTCCTGTGACCTCTGCAGAGACAGGCGCGAGGCAGGAGAGTCAGAAGGAAGGACGGACAGGCGGACTGCGGGCCGGGCACACGCGCGCCCGCCACGAGCCGAGAAATTGGCGGAGGGCGCACGCCCTACCTTTACTATATACCGCGCCTCCGCGGCCCGGGGCCCCGCCCACTAGCGGCCCGGCCGGCCAATCGCCGGCGCGCAGGGGGCGGGGTCTAGGGCCCGAAGGGGCGGGCGCGGGGCCGGCACAAAGGAGCCTCCTAGGCGAGAGGGGCCGGCTGGAGTGCGGGGGCGCGGAGAAGGGCGGAGGGACCCGCGACGAACGCGCAGGCACGGCCGCGCAGCCCCCTCCGCGCTCCCGCTGGGCGCCAACCGCCCTTCCGTGGTGGGGTGGCCTGCACCTGAGTCCCTGAGAGCCCTGGGGCGCCCGGCCCGAGGTCCTGCCCCACTCCCTCCCGCGCTGCCTGCCCTTACCCGCGCGCTCTCGGCCTCCCTCCGCTGCAGGTCCACCTCTTCCAGGCCCTGGCGGGGTGGAGGAAGGTCACTCAGGGACGCCTGGGAGTCGGGGACTCTGCCCAGCTCCGCCCCGCCTCTCTGCTCTTGCACCTGCCGCCCCCTCGCACTCCCTGCCGCTGCGGTTGCAGTTCCGGCTCGGCCCTCTTCTTCCAGGCTAGCCCAGCCCGCAGCCCCGGTTCCTGACCGCCCGGCTGTGCTCCTTGTGGGCGGCCTGAACCACCTCGAGCAGGACAGTTGCCAAACCCACCCTGGGCGGTAGCCTGGAGCCAGGGCTCGGGAGGGGTATCCCCGAGTGAGTCGTGCTATGGAAACCGGTTGCGACTCAACGCCAGTCTAGACCCCGGGCGACAATGTCTGCAGGAGACCCAGCCACCGAAGAGTCTCTTTGGTGCCCAGTGGCTGGTATTCTCATTGGCATTCTTTTATGCCCCCTTGGGAGTACCGACCACTGTGTTCTGCTGTAAAATTCCTGGAGCCAAAGTATTAATACCTTTGGGAAGACCTAGCTCACTGGGCAAGACGTAGTGGGCAGTCCTGGGCATTTCTACCCTTTATCTGCTGTTGCTGTTAAGCCAAACTCTTGGTTTCATCCCCCTCTGCTGAGCCCCTAAGCAGCTTCACACATCCCTCTCAGGGCAATGACACAGCAGAAAACACAGGGATGCTTCTGCAGTAACGGCAGAGAAGCCCCGTCCCTGGGGGGGGCAACATGGCCCATCCTGAAAAGGAGGAATTCCCAGCCTCATATCAAGGAATTACCCAACGGTTGTCCAAGCCACCATCTTTCTCCAAGGTCAACCTTGCAGGCCTAAGGACAAGCTCCAATTGATACAGAATGAGCATTGTCCTACCAGTCCGTCTCAAGGCTCACCTGCAAGACCTGTGCAAACCTGAAATTTCCTGAAATTCAGGGGAGAAGCAGCCACCCATCCACACAGACCCAGAGGCACTGCAGCAGGGCTCTGTCAAGGGCAACTGAGAGGACAGTTTGTTGAGAAAGGAAGTCACCTCCTGCTTTGCCCCTGTAGTGTTTGTGTTGGAAGAAACTGTGTTGGGAAAACTGCAGGAAGAGGCTGCACCTACAGATACGATACCCCTGGTACCCTTCGAGCAGAAGTTACCTCATGAGGACTTGCCAGCAGGACGGGTCACTGGGAAGGGCATGTGTTTGTGCAGTGCACGCTACACACTACTGTAGGAGGAAGGAAATGGGCAGAATTAGCCAAGAAAAAAGGATGAGTGGGGGGAAAGCGAGCATGGGAAGGGACGCAGTGGTTGAGGAAGGTTACGGTGCCCTTCCTTGTGCCAACCTCCCATCCCCCACCCTTGATTTTTCCATCTCTCTCTCTCTCTCTCCTTCTCCCTCCCCCAGGAGAAGCATGTGGTAAAACATGGTATGTAGATAGAGGCTCACTGTCACAGATTTTTAATTGGAACCGCCCTTTTTTCTTAAAAAAGTGTCCTACCTTAGCTTTCCAGGGCTGAGGCAAATGCCAAGCAGACTGCTGCTGGGTCTGGCAAAGACAGGCACTCTCTCTTGTCCTTGACCTCCTGTCTTCCTTTGGGGGATATCTCCCCCGCTCAAATTTTAGTTCCCTAGGTTTGCTTATTCTGTCCCCTGCATGTAAACTCTTCACGGGTTGTGATAAAGTCCTGAGGGTCACGCCTGCGTAGCCGACGCAGCATTTCATTCTAAACCAGCCCCCTTCAGGCTTCCTAGAAACCTCCATTTCCACCCAAACCTGGTATTGCTGCTGGATTACCGTCTCAGCCCTATGGGAACCAGATTTCTCTCTGTGGCTCACCTCAAATTCCACCTGTGGGGCCACTCTAGACCATCTGGAATTGTTCCACCCACCTAACCACCTCCCCACATAGAGCAAGCTGGTGAAGAACAGGACAGACCTGCGTTCACATTCCCCGCTTCAGAACATGCTAGCTGTGACCTTGGGCAAGTCATTTATCCTCTCCAGGGCTGTTCCCTGGTTGTAAAATTGAAGCGATACAGTGTTGCAAGGATTAAATGGGAGATACGAGAAAGTGTTAAGCGCAGTGCCTTGTGCATAGCAGGAGCTGCTAAGTAGCTAGCTTTATTAACGTTGCCTCTTTCCATTTGACCTTGTCTAACCTTGGGGCTGTTGCTATGACTTTGCCATCTACTCATTCTGATACCCACCCTCTGCCAGGACTCTGAGTTCCCATCAGCCCCTAGAAGGCCAGCTGGCCAGATTCCCCACCCTCTATGCCACCTTTCCCCTTGCTCTTCCAGTGTGCGTATTGCTCAGTGACCTCCTCTAACTCAAGTAATGAATAACTCAAGCACACAGTGTCCCTTTAGGCTGTGCTGGGCTGGGATTTTATTCCAAGGCCCCTTCTGTAAAGAGTGCTGTAGCAGCAGGTCGAAAGCGGAAAGTCTGCGGTTCTCCGAAGGGAGGGGTGCCTCTGGCAGGTGGAGTGTGTGGCTGGGCGTGGTGGGGAGGTGTGGACCATGGGGAACTAAGACAGCCGTTCAATAAATGCCTGTGAAAGTCCAGTGTATCTCTGCAGAAAGAAGGAGGAATGAATTCCTCAGCTCAGTTTAAAGGCTCGGGGTGAAAAGAACAACTCTTAATCCCCTTTCCCATGCAGGCTAGGGAAGAGGGATGGTTCTGGAATGCCGTGATCGGTTCTCTCCAAGGTTAGTGCTCTATATGTGGATAGATAGAAGGGAAGCAGACAGCAGGAACAGCAGCAGAGAGTAGAGGGGGCTGAGGGCGGGAACTCCTTCCAAGTGAAGACAATGGTTCTAACTCAGGAAACAACCAGAAGCTGCTGTGATTGAAGCAGAATCTACCCTGGAGGCAGACAGGGCCTGGCTGGCAGGTAAAAGCAGGACAAGGCCGTCCTGTTTGTGGCAAGATGGCCAGTCGGAAGCTGAGCTAGGAGAAGAAGCAGGACAAATCAACCCCCAGCAGTAAGAGCCTTCTGTTCAACATCAGAGAGGCTAAAATGGAGGTGCCTGCAAAAGAGAGGGTGCAACTTGGCAGGCTGCATGAAGGAGAACCAGACTTAACCGCCCCCCCACCCCTCCCCAGCCATTGGCTCTCTGCGCCAACACAGTGCAGTCTGCTCTGCAGAGGGCTCCAGAGGGCCGAGCTGCCAATCCCACCTTCGCACACGTGCTCATGCACAGTGGGGTTCTGCGCAGCCAGCCCTAGAGTATTTTAAGTACAGAGTGGAGGGGATGAGGGTATGTGTTGCATGGTGACTCATCCTGGCAGCAGAAACTGTGTGCAGTGCAGGCAAAAATGGCTCAATGGCAGGCTCTGTTTGCAGTGGAAAGCGACCGCTGTGCACAGCTCCGCAATGGAGGGCTTGTTAGAGCTGGGAGAGGGTGGGCACTGGGAAATGCTGCCAGACTTGTCGCCATGGCTGGGATGTGGGTAGATGCCCCGGTAACACCCAGCCTTGGGCTAGGCTGAGTGCCTCACCATCATCACAGAAGGACGCCAGAATGCTCCACAGGGCATCATTCTGTGCTTCACAGTGGACCTCTCATGTTTAATAGAAAACCAAGCCACTCTCCCTAATTTTGGTTTCTAGCAATAGTTTACCATGGCTTCAGTTTAGACCCTGAATGAGGACAATGGAAGTATCCCTTAACTACTTTCATCTGAAGGTATTCTGGTACTTTCCTATTTCCCTGGGTCTAGAATTGCTGTCCTGTGTGAAGACATAGTATGAAAATAACAAAAAAGGACCTTTTAAAAAATCAGCTGGACTATTCCTGCCATCAGTGGGAGTGACAGTTTACTCACTTGTCATCTTGGCTGCCATGCTCTGACTGGCAGATTCCTAGAAGTTGCTTTCTGCCATGCTGTCTCCTAACTGGTAAGTCCAGAAAGCATCCTGGTATAGGGAAGCATTCTGGGATTTCTCTGCCTCCCCCATGACCTTTGTCAAGTTAAGTGTGTGGATAGTGGAGGTGACCATAACAGAGAGAAAGGGACACACAGAGAATGGTTTTTATTTTGTTTGTTTTAGCAGCACCTCTAACGCTCTGCAAGTAATCGGGACTTACTTGCGTGATCCATAGGCGGCAGGACTGAAGGCCAGTGAATAAGCGGCGCTAAACAATTGTTAGCGCTTTCAGAACCAGCTTGCCTGTTCTTTTGTACTTCCCTGGTTGGGGCAGGGAGTAAGCGGGTTGAATCTGTTTTTACGTTGGAAAATTCTCTGGCTCTAACCAGCATATCCTCTAAGCTTTAAAAATTAAAGTTCCTTTCCAAAATTTTCCATCTGCTTAAAAGGTGACAAGTGGATACTCTTCTGAGAGGCTAATCTCAGTACGAAGAGGTCGCTCTACATCATTCTCCTGTAGAGAAGCACGGTCTCATCAGCAGCAGAGGATCTAGGGTATTTCATAACCCCTTTCTTGCTGAACCACCTGAAGTCTTCTAAAGATGAAGGGAATGTCTATTTTATGGTCCGCTTAATCTTCAGCTTCTTTCTGCAGCTTTAATGGGTGTGTAGTCATTATAGAAAAACTCATTGTGTGTAGTGCTGAAGATAATGTCAGAGATCCTCTGTTACTCCAAACTCCCATCTCCTGGGACAAGGTAGCTGGTCAACTGGC